AGTGTAAAATCTAGTTCTGGGGGCCGCTCGTGGCCGATGAGGGCATGGCCGACGAGGGAACGACCGACGAGGACCCGGCCGACGAGGTCACCCGGTTCTCCTGGCTCCTGAACCTTATTCTGAGTAGACTGCTTCCTGGCCGATGGAGGTCACCTGGCCGACGAGGGTCCCACCAGGTGATCGTGGTACCTTCTGTTCTTCCGAGTATGTGGGCCATGGGGTCCAGGCCCATATACTCCATCACATGGCATATGAAAGATAATAAAATGTTATGAACTTTTATATATATTTTGTAACAGTCGTAGTACAAACAGAAAAATTATAACACTTTGAAAAGTATATGTGTTTTAAAGTGTGAAAATATCTTTATATATTCAATATTGGTGTCATATGAAAGATAATACAAAATTATGATTTTGGATATATTTTTTGTAACAATTGAAGTAAAAATAAAAAAGTTATATCACTTTAAAAAATAAATAGTTTTTAAAGTGTATCTTTTTTTGTATATCAATATTGATATCATTTGAAGATAATAAAAAGTTATGAATTTGGTTGGAATACAATCGCAGTACAAATAAAAAAGTTAAACATTTTAAAATAAACATGCGATTTTGTGTTGGTGGGATCCTAAATAAGAGGATTTGTATTTTACTTGAGTAGTGCTCTGAAATACGGATATGCAATATTTTACTTTGAATGTGATTTTAAAACAACAATAATTGTGGACATGACATGTGGCAATGCTTTTCCTAATTTTAACCTTGAAATGTATTATATATAGATATAGATGTAGATGTAGATGTAGATGTAGATGTGGATGTAGATGTGGATGTGGATGTGGTCATGTGGATGTGGATGTGGATGTCGATGTGGATGTGGATGTGAATGTGGATGTGGATGTGGATATCGATATCGATATCGATATAGATATGGATATGGATATGGATATGGATATGGATATGGATATGGATATGGATATGGATATGGATATGGATATGGATATGGATATGGATATGGATATGGATATGGATATGAATATAGATATAGATATGAATATAGATATAGATATAGATATAGATATAGATATAGATATAGATATAGATATAGATATAGATATATCATTTCTAGACAATTAAACACATGGACTTCTTTTTTCCAAAGAAGTCAATTTTTTGCCAAAAAAATAATTTGTTTTGCAAAAAATTGATTCTTTTGTTTCAATAGCAGGACTCTATGTTGTGATGTAACTCGTGTTGATGGAAAGTCTTAGGGGTGAGCAAAAATACCGAACCGACATGATACCGAACCAGACCGATATTGTACTAGACCAGAAAACAGGGTTTGAAACGGATCTCAAAATTATTGTCCTGAACCGGACCGTACCGATTTCAAACAATGTCATGACCGGTTCTCATAAAATGAGAACCGGTACTTAAACCAAAGTATGGTTTAATTATTTAAAATTACATTTATACCATTACTTTGATTAGTGTCTTCGACTTTCAGAGCCTTTGTTAGTTCACTAGAAGTCTGGAATGGAACCGAATTATAATTTAATTATTTAAATTTGTACTACTATAGTTTATCTAAAATTTATTAATTGTGTAACATGAAATTTGATAAATTGTGTGGATTTTTGGAGGGTGGCTAAACTTTATTCCCCCTTAAATCTAGGAAAAAGTGACATTGTTTGGTATTGGTACGGCATGGTACCGTCTCGTTTAAAAATGAAATCATACCGAACGAGATTAGGTCTAAGACCGAACCGAACCATTTCAATAGTCACGGTACGGGTACGGGTTCGGCAAAATATTGTACCAGATCGGACCACGCCCACCCCTAGAAAATCTAAATTAAGTGTATGCAAAATGTAATTTGTTAAGACAAGTCTAAATGTAACTCGCGTATAGGAAGATGTAACTCACGCATAAACAAGATGCAACTCGCACATAAGAAGATGTAACTCCATATACTATCAAATGTAACTATGTAATTAAGCAATAAAAACAAGGAGTCTAATTGCTCAAATTAATTTACGTAAATAGTTAATATGTTTTGGTTTTAGTATTAAGGCCATAAAACGTTTCAAAGGAAAAAAAATGCCAAACAAATCATTTTTTAGCCAAAAAAACATTATTTTTGCCAAAAAAACATCTTTTTTGTTTGCAAAAAATTGATTTTTTTTGTTTCAATAGCTGGAGTTTATTTTGTGATGTAACTCGCATTATGGAAAAATCTAACGCGCGTTGATGGAAAATCTAACTTAGGTGTATGCAAAATGTAACTTATTAAGGCAAGTTTAAATGTAATTCGCGCATAAGAAGATGTCACTCATGCACAAGAAGATGTAACTTACCTATAGGAAGATGTAACTCCAAAAATTGTTTATAAACATAACTCACACATATGAAAAATGAGATCTCATGTTTTATCAAATTTAAATCGAAATAAACAAACTTAATGTTTTAAAACAATAAAAACATATAAAGAGATAATAACTATATTATAAAAAAGTGTATGAATATGAAATGCATATTATAAAAAGTGTACATGATGGATAGTGTACCCGGGGGTAGCTTATCCGAGGGGTTACTGCGGGGAGTAACTTAGAGAGAAGTCAGAACAAATAAGTAAGAGAGAGAGTGAATTCGAATATATCAGTTATGTATTCAAGGCGTGTCTTACAAAGGGGAAAGGGGCAGCTATTTATAGTAGCAATAAATGCTAGATAGGGACACGTGTCAGCATTCTAGTGGTCGGGGGGGTCACCTCAACCGGGGTGGCACTGGCACTCACATGTGGCCGCATTAAATGCGGTGGTTGGATGCGACATTTGTACTTGGTACGATGATCCAGGCAGGACATGTGGACGGGAGATTCTGTCGAGGGGGATGCCTTCGGCTGTAGATGACAGTCTGAAGGCTCTGCGTACCGGGGGCCTCATAGTGCCGAGGGCTCCAATTGCCGAAGGCTTGGTTTTCAAGCCTTATTTTCCGTGATGTTGCTGAACCCAATTCTGTCACTGGTAGCGTTCGGCCATGGGGCCGAAGGCACCCCTCCATGCATCGTGGGCTGCTCAGAGCTTCATTCCGCTGGGCTTGGCCCGTTTTGGGCCTGTTGGGCCTGATTGTAATCGTGGAAGTATGTGGGTCGGGGGTCCCTGGACCATATACTCCATCAGGAGTCCCTCACTCCTTTTGCCGAAAGGTACTTGAGGGAAAAGGAGTAATTGCGTTTGTCCTCTGATGTTGCTTTGTTGTCGTTTGTAAAAGTGGTGAGGAGTTTTGCGCTTGCGTGTGTCGAGGGCAGTCCCTCAGTCCCCCACATTTTGGGGCCGAAGGGAAATTTTGACATTTTGTATTTTTGTGAATTTCCCAAAGGGGTCCTCCAGTCCCCCACTCCTTGAGGCACATGTAATGTGGTGAAAAGGAGTATGGTAGTGCCTGTTATTAGCATATGGCTGAAGGTTTGACTCTTTTCGTTTCATTTTGGGGGGATGCCTCGTTAAAAACCTCATTAGGAAAAACCCTTTGTGAAAAAATCCTAATGAGGGAAAAAGAGTGCACCGAATTCCCCCAATGATGAATAAAAAAGGTGAGCCTTTGGTTTGAGATGAAGAACAATGTTGCCGCCGAGAGCTATCCGTGACCTGAGGGTTTGATCGTTGATTTTGCCGAAGGCTCTTCGTTGGTGTCCTGGTGATTCCGAGGGGGTGACTGCTGGGAGCACTCCTCCGAAGGTGTCTGTAGTTGATAAGCATGAGTGAGCATTTCGGGGACTGCCAAGGGTAGTCCCCCAGTTATCGAGGGTTGTGGGCGTGGTGAATGTAGACGATAGTTCCTGTGTTGCTGAGGGGGGTTCCCTAGCTCTTGATAAGTTGGAGGCTGAGAGCTCCGGAGGGCTCCTGTCATTTATGCCGGAGGCTAAACATTGATAAGGATTTGAGGGTGTTGAACGGAAGGTTTGTGAGTGAATGTCTGAGGGGTGCCAACTGGGGGCACCTTTGTTTTTTCAAAAAATAGCCGTTGGAATACGACCGTTGGAGAGGGTTTCCACGTGGCGTGTGTTCGTTGGCTCTCCACGGGCGGGTGTCACCGGTTGGCTGAGGTGACGGTGTGTAATGATGATTTTCCTTTCGGGGGCCCGGTTTTTGGCCCAAGCCCGGATTGAGGGAGGCTATAAATACCCCTTGCCAGGGTCCGTTTACCCTCACGCGTTCTTGGTGTAGCGAAGCTCTGGCGAATTTTTTCTAGAGAGAGAAAATGTCTTGTGATCAATCTTAGCTTCCAAGGTCAGTTCCCTACTTGCCCCCTGCTCCATTAGTAAGTTCTTCTTTGCAGGCCTTAGATTTTTTAGGAAACTCTTTTCCCTTAAACCCTTCGGTCGTAGTAAAAAATGTCTTCGCAAAGTGATTCGCAAAATATCTCGAGGGAGCCTTCTGTTGAGGAAGAGAGCATCACAGTCGTGGAGTCTGTTAACGGGCAACCCTCGGTGAGTGGTGATTCCACCATCGCTATGGAGGTGCAGAAGGACCTGGTGGCCGAGGCCGAGGCCGAAGACTTTGAACAAGTCAACGACGACGAGTAGCTGGCCCTCGCTCTCCAAACTGCGGAAGAAGAGGAGGAGAAAGAGAGGCAAAAAGTTACCATCGCCATCCTCCCCTCTCGGCTCAACGATGAAGCTGGAAGCTCCCGTCCCCTCGACCCGACGCCTATAAGCGTGGCCCCGGGGAAAATGAAGAAAGTGAAAGCTGCCCCGAAAAAGAAACAAGCTGCTATCTTTCAAATTGAGGATACCTGGATTTTTAAAGACTCCGTGAAAATTCAAATTGAGGACACCCGGATTTGGATGGAATTCTAAACTCCATTAAAATCTTTTAAAATCCGTGTGGAGGACATCCCCTTAAAATAAACATACTCAAGGGCAGTTCCGTCATTGAGGGCATGTGAGGATGTGACTTCCATCGCCGCGCGGCGCGGCTGGTCAACGTTAACGCCGTGAAGATCCAGATGGCAAAACCTGATTAGGGTTACGGCACGACTAATTCGGTTTCCTTTTGCGTAGTAATCCTGAAGATTCGGTTTTGATGACATTGGAGTCGGAGCTTCGGATTTTTTGTCCCCTCAGGTCACATTATATATCACCCCCTTCCCCGATCATCGGCTTAGTCGTTGTGTCTAACGCAGGTCGATGATCGTCTGAGTTTCATGGACCAGTCTCTGGTGCAATCCGCTCCTTCCACCGAAGAAGACGAGTGGGGTATTTTTGCTACTCTCATCCTCCTATATTTCTATACCTTGTGGAAGGAATTCTTGCTTTATTATTTGAATTTAAATGTTTTTACAAACAATGAATTTATGCTGTTACTCTCTGCCTTTTAAGTCAAAGATATACCTATTTATGTAGTTGTCGTGCCTATATCCATTTGTTTTGAGATTGGGTAGCTGACTAGCTTCAGACACACATAGACTGCATCTTAACTTCTTAAGAGATTTGAAGTTCTTTATTTTAAAAAAGCGTCTTTAGTTGTTTCCAATCCACATTTTGCTGTTTTGGTACACCTATACTACTAATGCAGCAATACTTCGGTTGGTTGTTGTGTAGTGTATCTGATACTCCGGTTTTTACCAGAACATTTGCAACATGGACAGTCCAAACTGAACCTAATATTGAATAAGAATGATATATTTCCATACAAGTATCCACACATCTGTTTATCCATGTCATGTATATGTGCAAAATGTAGATATGGTGGTTGAGTTGTTCATCTTTTTAAATTGCAAATTAAATTAACCTTTAGGGGTCCGCTCAGAAATAAAAAGTTTTTAGGAAAATATTATCATGAAGGAAAGTATAGGGTAAACTTAGACGGAATGAAAACGGGAGGGGAGATAAAACATTGGTTCAAACTAAATAAATCTATTCTCAGAATTTTGTTTGAAGAAAAAACACGGGGACCATTAACAATTATGTGGTGCCTTAATCCACTACTAAAAGGACTTCAGGAAATACCACTTCAAAACCTTCTGCTGGTTCTTAGATCGACAATGGTTGTCACCCAGTCAAGTGAGCCAAAGTTTTATAGAAAATACAGATTGAGGACTCCACAAGACATTCTGTTAAATTGGCCATTCTATTGGCTTATTTCCATCTCATTTGGCTGATATGAAGGTCAGGCAACTAAGAAACAGATGTAACAAATAAATAAATAAATAAATAAAGGCAAATTGACTGGTATCTTATTACTTATGAGCAAAGGCAACAATGACATGGCATATGTCGTGATCTAAGCCTAGGGCCTTAAAAATAACTAGGATTTCACTTATTTTTCTCAACCAACACAAGTCTCATTAAAGTTTAACTGAGATTGCTTTGTACAGAAGACTTTTTGAACACATTGGATAAAAAGAAATGCATGATACAAAAATCACCAAACTTAGGAGATGTTTGGATTCCAGAAATTTCCAGGTAAAGGGAAAAAATGCCAAGGAAAGTTATCTTCTTGGTTTCTTTTACTTTAGAAATGCAAAGAAAAATTATACGTGATAATTTTTTTTAAAAAAGTATACATATGTTTAGACTTGTCTAGTTCTCTGGTCCACAGATAAAAGCCACACTTCTTGGTCCCCACATTACTATATTCATGGCCTCAGGGTCTGCCACAATTTTGTTCACAATCACCTCAGAGACGGCTTCAGGTCTCAATGAAGCAAAGGCTCCTGTTTGCTTGTGATCATTGTTATCAATGGCGACTGGGTTTCCATTATGGGCAGTTTCCGTCAGCTGACGGCTGGCTTTCTAGGGTCACGGTGGGCACTTTCAGTTAGCTTTAAATGTTCTTCCCCATTTTGGTTTCAATATGATTTTGGTAGTAAGCCCCTAGCCGCGCATGGACATTTTTGGGCGCAAGCCTCTATCTTACAAGAATAGTGCAAGCTCTAATATTATCGCGCACGCTGCACTGTGATGCAGGCCTCAAAACCTGCCTCTTAAGCACCGTTTAAAACCATGGTCCACATCATGGAAAATTTGACTTTTTTTTATTATGCACTCTGAGTATCTGGTTAAGCACACTTTTTATTGCAATAACACTATATCTCACGGCATTGGGTGACACTATCCTGCTTGGCGTATGACCATGACCCCGAAGCTCATATCTAATGCCTGGGCCAAGATGAATGGCTTTGAACATGCCATTCCCAACCACACTTGTGTTCTCGTCAAGGCCAAAAGCTGATAAAGGCCCCTAGGACTCAGAGAATTTTTTTACCCAGGGCAATTTGGTTTGGCTCTGCATTCGTATATATGCTGCAAACAGTGTTGGGTCTGGTACCATCACGAATTGTTGCTGAAACATTTTTTCCCTTGCCATAATTCTGGCCGCTTCGCCAGGCAGCATATGGGCTCACACTTCTTCCTGACTGCTGGATTTATGTCATTTTCTGTGTATCCCGCCTGAAACCTCACCAAGGGCCTCTTCCATCCTCAATTTCCACACTGCTACTGATTGAGCTAAACTTGTCAGTTCTTCAAATAATGACCGTCCTGCACATGTGCCGTGCTTGTGTTCGTCATGAACTCTTAGTCTTTTTAAATTTTTCCTGCAAGCATTTCGTGAAATTGAGCTTGTTGAAGTACTTGTCCCATATTGGTAACATGTAAGATCTCAGGTTACATTTATTAAATCTACTTTTTATTATGACACTTCAAGTCTTAATATGTTATTAGAGTGCGACTCCATTGTGGTTGATTGTTTATTTGGTACCTCATTTTTAGGGTAGCTTTTGTGTTGTCACATTTGTCTGCCTCCAAGTTTTCCAGTATGGTTTGGGTTGAAGGGCATGAGTGTTTGCCATCAAACATAAAAGATCTTGGTAACCCTGCATATCTGATTTAGCTTTTTTGTATAAAACCTCAATTCTTATTACAGCTAGAGGATTAGTCAATGTGAGAAGTGATGTTATGGATCACTTTATGGGCCCCATCTTGGACATAAGGATTAGTCACTTTATGAATCCAGGACATAAGAAATTACAGCCCAAGATACCTAAAATGAATTCCATTTTAATCAGTTTCATTTTTCCCAAGCCTATCCGCATTCCAATACGCTTTTTCAAATTAGTTCCCAGATTCGCTAACCCTGACGCCCACACACCCAGAACAACAAAGTAGGTGGGATATAAATCATGGTGACTCAACTGGTCCCAAAGGGCAGAACACTACATGTTGCACTCAAGAATCCCTTTCATTTTGACGGTAACCCCTACACTAGGGTTAGAAGGATTCAATCTTGGACATAATTTTCACCTCAAAAACCAGTTTGCTACCCGTGCGGGCAAATTGACAGTTTATTTCCTAAGTCTATCAGCATTTCACTTGTGTTAGAATTTTTACTTTCTAGAATCTAACACAGGTTGTTTTTCATAGCTTCCAAATTTAGATTTCTCTTCCACGGTTTCCTTGGAGAAAGTTGACGAGGTCATGCATGGCCCTTAACACATTTATCTACCATTTGGTCAACACTAATCTTAAGGGAATGAACGTAATCTAATATAATCTCGTGAGCATTTTAGTTTGATGAAATATTTTACCACTTTTCTTAAATATAAAATTATAAATTAATTATGGTATTACACACGTACAGTTCTGATTGTGATTTTGAGTTGGCTGGTTTGGTTCTTTTGGGCCATCCATCCACTCTCAAGTTATCCAGTTTGGTTTGGACTAAAGGAGCGTATTTAAGTATTTGTCAAATTGTCACATAAATAATAAACCAAGAAACAAGATCACATATTCACATTATAAATAAACATTAAAAAGATCAACGATGTTTGTCTGTGTCATCTTCTATGGACTATGGTATTTTGAGTGGAGTATATAAATCAAGGTTAGTTATGCTACAGTGTTTATAAAACATTCTTCTTACTTATACTAACCTTTGGTTTTACTGATAAGACACTGAGGGATTTGTGATTCCAAGCCTGGGTATCAGGGATTCTGGAGAAAGTCGAATTGATCCTATAGAAGTTACAGATTCTAAGCCGTCATCAATTGCAACTGTGAGTTGCTAAACACCACCATCACAGGGGATAAAAACTATTGTTCATTTCTCTTGAGTCTTGTCTAAATGTGTGTGTGTGTGTGTGTTTATGTATAGTAAGTTCTAATGGATTGACATATTCATTTTGGCAGAATTTAAAAGAAGAGAATATATACCTTGGACCTCATGGTGCTCCTCCTTTACGGTCAAAACAACCAGAGTTAAACTCGAGCAAACGCAAGCAAAGTTTGAAGCACAAACTTAAGGAAGCTGATAGGAAATACAGTGGAATAGGGAGTGAGAATAAGGTGGACAATCTGAGAGAGCTTTTGGGAAGTGCGAAAATGCCTGCTGCTGCTGCTGTACCCAAAAGCTCCTCCAAGGGTTGGTTAGACCCCCATTGCCTTGAGTCTCAATTTGAAAGGATGGAGTATCATTAACTAGTGAGATATAATCTGCTTATTATCGATTCATTGTGGTTTGGTTTATATAGTGATCTAATAAACTTTCAAGACTCCTTTATCCCCAACTTTCTTTTTGGACAGGGGTGTCTTTTTCATTGGGATTGATGACAACGACCATAACTGGGATATATATAATCATACATATTTATCAATTACCACTATTATAGACTGAGATCAAAATTTGGCTAAAGGGTCAAATAAGTCCTTGTACCCTTTGGGATTGCTCAATTTGCCCCCTCAACCCAAAAAAGCTCCAATTGTCACCCTGAACTCGATAAAATTATTCAAATTTCACATTTTGCAGGTTTCAATCCGGTCACCGCCACGTCACCCCGGTTAGGGATGGACCGGACCGGGCCGGTCCAGTTCTGGGCCAGGCCCGGGCGGGCTTTTTTTGCAAATCCTTGGGCCCGGAACCGGCCCGGGTTGATACTGGGTCCGGGCCTAACCGGGCCGGGCCCGATTCAATGTCTAATTTTTTTTTTTTGCTTTCTTGTTATCCCCCGACCCCCCCCCCCTCACCCCCACCCCCAAACCTCCCCAAAACACCCAGCCCTACCCTAGTAAAAGAAAAAAAAAAATTGACAACAAAAAAAATTGACCCAGGCTCGGCCCGAACTGCCCGGGCCGGTTCGCCCAAAACTGGGCCTGAGCCCGGCCTGCCCGGCCCGCCCAAACGGTTCTTAACTCTCTGGAAGTTGTCTAATATGATTTCTCGATATTAATATAAAAAAATCGTTCTTTTATATTAGGCTCTGTCTGGCCGTTGTCATTTGAGGCGGTTCCTTGTGGAATTTTTTGATGAATTTCTTTGAGCATCTTCTTCATTAACTCTATTTTATCCATACCAAATTTGAGCTAAAAATGCAATCGTGAAGGCAGTCAAATAAATGTTTGAAGATAATTGCGCAGTTAAACAACGCAGTATATTTTAGAAAATTATTTGACTGCCTTCCCGGTTCAATTTTTACCTAAATTTTGGTATCGGTAAACTAGACTTAATGAAGAAGATGCTCAAAAAAATTCCACCAGAATCTATCCCAAATGACGACGGCCAGACATAGTCTCCTATAAAAGGGATGATTTGCACTTTTCCAGTTAGTTCGAGAGTTTATTTGCACATTTTCCCACTAAAAACAATGAGTGAAACATTTTGGTACGGTGTTGACTAATTTCATAATACGTATAAAATAATCCACAAATTCCACATTATGAAAATTTGTGATCAAACTTGATCTTGAGTTTTCAAATTGGTGTATACATTCACTCATTCAATTAGAAGTAGAATATTACTTTTGAAATAATAAATCTCACTAACACTTGCTATTAAGCCTCTTTTAAATTAACTCAATAAAAAACGATTAGAATTTAGCATTTCGTACACCAAATTTAGAGAAATGCTAGAATTACCCCATTTTGGCTCACAAAATCCCAACCCAACAAAATAATTGTTTCACTTTAACTCATTGTTTTTGTGAATCACAAAACTAGGATGGGAGTACAAATTGAGGTACAAAATGGGGTAACTTTAGATTTTTTCCCATATTTAAGTGTGAATACGTTAAAACACCACTCCATATTTCATACATATTTAGGCTATGTTTGGCAGGCAGAAGTTTCTACCTTCTAGCTTTTGTACTGTTTAAAAAGTTCCTATAAGCTTCTAGTTATATGTTTGGCATGACAATTTTTAAGAGCTTTTCAAAAATTAAAAGATCTTTTTTGAGATGCTACAGGGGGTAGCATATGAAAAAAGCCCGTGACTTTTAGTATTAATTAGTCTTAGCAGCTTGTATAGCAAACTGAACTAAATCAAACAGTCAGCTTTTTACCAAACAGCTATCACCTTTTCTCTTTAAGATCTTTTCAGTCACTAAAAGCTAACAGTTATTAAAAAGCTCACAAAAGTATCTTTAATTTTCAGCTAGTTATACTGAATGGTTTGAACGGTTAATCAACATTTCAACAGAACAATTAACAATTTGATCACGGGTGATAAATGAGAATTAAGAGATCGAGGAATAATTTAACCTCTTTATATTCCCTTGTAGAAATTGGTCATTGATGTCTAAAAATATTCGTATAGAGATCGTTGCCTTACTATGTTGCACGGATACTGATACGCTGATATGCGAATACGGGTACAACGATACAATAACTTCAAAATATATATGATACGAGTACAAGGGTATATGATGGAGTATATGGCCCAGGAACCCTCGGCCCATAGACTCCTACTATTCTAATGGAGACTCAATAGGCCCAGGAAGCACAGCAAGCCCAAATCACGACGCCCCAAGTACTAAGCAACCCACGTGGCACACTGGGGGTGCCTTCGGCCCCCTGGCCGAAGGCTCCAATTCTCACAGGATGGCCAAATCAAGAAAACAAAGTTAATGGGAGAAAACGGCGAAAATCAGTAGCCCTCAGCACCTAGAGCCCTCGGCACTAAGGAGATCCCCGGTACTCAAAGCCCTCGGCTAATCACCTGCAGCCGAGGGCACCTTTCCCGACATAATATCCGCTCCACATGCGCCTGGATCACCGTACCAAGTACGATGTCACATCCAACAGCCGCATTAAATGCGGCCACATGCGATTGCCAGCGCCAACCAGTTGAGGTGACCCCTCGGCCAATGGATGCTTGACACGTGTCCCTATCTGGCATTTATTGCTACTATAAATAGCACCTCATTTCTCCATTTGTAGACCAGAAGCAAAATACGCTGATCATACATCTAATACATTCTCTCTCTCACTTACTTGCTCTGACTTCTCTCTAGTTATTCCCCGCAATAACCCCTCAGATAAGCTACCCCCGGGTACACTATCCATCAGTATATTTATAAATAATAATAATAATAATAATAATAATAATATAGGGTATAATTTACAAATATATATAATTCAGAGGTTCATAAATAAAATAATAACAGTATCAAAAATTAACAATTATAATAAAATTCAAAGATTAGACTAAAAAAGCTAATGTACTAATATTTCGATTTAAATCCAAATAATATTTTTGGTACTTTATTTACATTTACATCTAAGTCTTTTAAAAATATTGTTTTAATTAATGTTCATCAAGCGGCAAATGGGGAAATTATATCCTTCCAATGTTATTTATACTCCCGCAATCATCTTTATTAATGTTCCACATCTTGTGGTCCATTGGGCGGTTACTAAATTTTCCTGATGTCATGTTTGAAAAAATAAGGGTTATAGGGTTAGATACGCGTATCAGTTCACGGATATGGGTATTAGAAGTATCCATATTTTTATTAAATTACATATATGGACTCAATACGTACATGACGTGTATCGGTAAGTATTAGTATCAGATACGCGGATACAGACCCAATATATCCAGGACGTGTATCGGTGAGTATCGATATCGAATACGTATCGGATACGTGGATACAACATGGGGTGAAGTATCGTTGCACGCACCATAGCCTGCCTAGCCTGCCTATAGGAGTACTTAGTAAATTATACGTAGTACAATCGTATAGGGTAACAAATACATTTATTTACATTAGTGACTTAGTAACTTTAATTTTAATTTTCAACAGTGTACTAAAGTGTACACCGTAACATCACTATGACGGCTAAAGGGTCAAATAGGTACATGAACTAACTTAAAGTGTTCAATTAGCCCCTTATTTAGAAGGTTCTGTCCGGCCGTCGCCAATTGGGGCGGTCCCCGATAAAATTTTTTGATGAATTTTTTTGAGCATCTTCTTCATTAAGTCTAGTTTACTCATATAAAATTTCAGCTAAAAATTAAATCGGAAGGCAGTCAAATGATTTTCCGAAATGTATTGCGCTGTTTAACTGAGCACTTATCTTCAAAAAATCATTTGACTGCCTTCCCCGTTGAATTTTTAGCTGAAATTTGGTATGGGTAAACTAGACTTAATGAAGAAGATTCTCAAAAATTTTCATAAAAAACTTCCACCAGGAACCGTCCCAATTGGCGACGGCCGAGCAGAACCTCCTATATAAGGGGCTAATTGAACACTTTAAGTTAGTTCATGTACCTATTTGACCCTTTAACCTCACTATGACTCTCCCAGTGAAAAGGTCACAAGTTTGAATCTCATCCCAGATCAATGATTTTGATCTTAACATTAAACAAATACTATAATAGAGAGCTTTGCAAAAAAATAGTGCTCCATGTATGATTTTCAGAAGTCCAATGCAATTTTGGCTAGAAATTGTATAAATTTACAAAACATTATTTGTAAGTAAATTTATGATACAAATAACGAGTAAAAATTAATATTATGGGACTAAATCCCCAAATCTCTCCATAAAAATGTCGTTACTTGTTTCTGGAGTAGTAAATTTGTAAAATATTCAACAGTAGTATGTGCCAAAATGTGTCTATGTATACAAGCATCTTGTTTTGAAAAAACAACAATTGAATGTATACACAATAGAATGTATCAAATGTTTATACTTTTCTATGTACATCATGAATGATTGTTTTATATTAGTAGAGGTGGAGATAGGAGGAGGCCGACTGGCGGGGACCTCCCAAGAAGAAATAAGTATAAAAACGTTCAATCAGGACCTCCAACTCTGCGATATAGTGCAAATTAACCCTTAAATAAATAAAAATAATCTGCAACCAAATTCTCCAACTTAGTGATATAGTGCAAATGACTTTCTTGAGCGGTAATTTACCAATTAAAGCTGATTTGCGTCATGTATTAAAAAATATGTCGATTCATTTATTCGTCTCAATATATCTCACTTAAACCTTTTATTGACAGCTTATAAAATCAGATTGAGCATGCAATGTAACACCCACCCCGTCCGGTCTGGTCTGTTCGGGACGGATATCACTGTCGTTTATCTTTTAATAAAAATATGTCTGTATAGCTACTTTAGAAAATATTTTCCATAGAAAATAAATAATAAAATTGATATTATCTTGGTTCAATGGTAGTCTGAAAATAAAAGACAATTAACCAAATACATAACAACTTCAAATAAAACTACGATTATTACATTAGCATACTTAATTTTAAAACGGTGTTGATTGTATCAACCTATTTAAAACATGACAGTAATGAAACACATGAAATGCAGTCTCGTCCAGATGTCTCATTGTCTCGGGGCTCTAGCTTGCTTCTCATATTCACCTACATGTAGAAAAAGTACACTCTCAA